ATTTAAGTCGAAGAGAATTAGAAAACGAAAGACTTGATTCCGTAACGGCGTTTTCTCCATGATAAAAACGAGTTAGTTAAAAAATAACTAATAAATCAGATAGAGCATGAAAAACTGACTTCCGACCACAGAATTAGAATTTGAATAGTATTATTAATTACTCTCAAAATAAACTTTAACCTATTTTTCGTTACGAAATCACGCTGGTTCGTTTGGTATATTAAAATATAAATAAAAAAACAGTTTGGTATATTCAAGAAAACGTTTTCACTTCTTGAATACTTCATATCAAAGTATTTTCCTGTGTATCCCCTTAAAAAAATGCTGTGTGATATTAAACTAAAAACCTGTATGCACGAAAGAAATAGGAAAAATGAAGAATATATACAAAGAATGTTGCTTTTGTTGGCTACTCAACTGTTTTTGTTACGCTCTTTCTCTCATGTATCTTAAAGTTTTCTGTTCTCTCTCTCCATACGACGGTTTATTATTCAGTCGATTTCTGTATAAACCGCGTAACTTAACTGTTGTACTTGTTTGCTGCAATTGAAAGAGGTGATTATAGTTGTATTTTTTGCTACTTTTTATTTTTTTCCCGTGAATGAACTCATGTAAATGTTAATTGTTAACCTTCAGGAACAATAAATTCAATATTAAAAAAATAAATGAGAGGTTTACGTTTGGATTTTGTTGAATCTGTGCTAGGGGGAGAAAGTATCTTATTATTATGCTTATGGACAAAGATAAGCGAAACGGCAAAATTTTTTCAAAGATCGACTTTCTGTGTCAGTATTAAAGAAGAACTATAATTTTTATTCAATTGAGATTGATATTTAACTGGCAAACGTAAAAATTTAAGAATACTTATATTGAAAAGCGACGTGAATGAAAGGTAAAGTCTTTTCCTTTTAATGAGAGTTAATCGCATATTTCACAGTATGTACATCGACATTTCGTTGGTATTTTATAATGCAATAATCTTTCATCAGTGCCATCATTTCCACATTTAATTTTTATTGAATTTTCAATCGTTCTTACTGGCGTACAACATGTTAGACGGTGTTGATGTTTATAACCGGATTCTTCTCGCCAGTCGTACATTAATGTGTCTTCTGAATAACAGTGGCCCCGGCACCGACGAGTTTTGACTGTGGTGTGTTCGCAACCGTGAACATTGATGATGTCTTCATAGGGGACAGCATCGCATAATGTAATGAGTGATTGATGTCTTTCATCTGATCCGCTAAGTCGTTTCTCAAGATCACTGCGAGTTGTAGTGTTAAAGCAGAGAATATTACATGTAAAACAAAGTAGAAATATTACGATCGATCTACTCATGATGAAACTCAAATGAAACGAGTACTTCTGCTCAGCTTTTATTTGAAAGTGTTAAATAATTTCACACTTTTGAGTACAAATTTAATTTACACTTACAGTTCTGTCATGTACTGAAAAAAAGAAATTAATGAGTTACAGTAATTTATTTGAACCTAAAGCAATATCTCAGCGTTCGACAGATTATGTAATAAGCACTAAGTGTGTATGATTACCTGATGCTGCTTTTGTGATCACTCAGTCACGAGCGTCCTCTAAGAAATGTCTAAATGGATCTGTTTTCTACCACCAGTGAGCGACTCTGCTATTCCAGAACGCAGCTAATTATATTCCCGATACAAAACCGACTGACGCTAAAGTGCGGAAGATAAAAGCTCTTCGAAGCGTACAAAAAAATCTACTGTTTCTGAAAACCCTTTTAAGTTTTCAGGATACTATTTTTTCTCGTTCGACCGTGTCTTTTCTTGCTTTTCTACAAGTGCATTATGTCGCCGTGGACTGTTGTACCCAGCAACACTTTAATCAATCAGATCGCTCTTATGAGCTCCATTTTGGTCATTTTTCCTTGTCAAAAGTTAGCGTTCAATAATTAAATTCAATAGCTGCTGAAATCAACATTGTTTGGAGTCTAGTATTCGATACAACGCACGTAAAATTACACTGGTATTAGTAACTTATGCCTAATTTTTAAATCCTGCAGTGTTTTCAACGCATATTTTATGAAAAGTAGAGTTGCATAGTTTACCACTGCATTTTGAACGTTTACCATGCTGGAAACAGAATGAGTATTAAATTCTCTAATAGACTATGAATAAATAAAAACAGAAAATAAACTAAGCCTTGATATTCTTATAGAACACTCACAGCAGTAATAGATAGATTGTGATTGTGCTACTTTAATTCTAAAACTTCAATTTTATTCTTCAAAAATGTAATTAATTTCATTTCATTTCGTGCTTGTTCTTGATTAGCTGCTACTCTGTTGTTAGAATTAATCTGGACTTTCTTGACTATCGTCAAATCTGGTTCTTATTTCGTGACGAACACGAGCAAAAGAAGTTTCTTGAGGAACAACTGACACAAGTTGAGTGAAACTTGAACTCAGAAGACTAGTTATCACTGTCGTAGCTTTCTCCGCGAAACTATTATCGTCGGCTGTCTCAGTACCCCTCTCCAGATGATAGCTTGTTCTCGTGCTTCTTTTTTGCCTTGTCGTATTACTCCGCAGTCGTCTCTGGCAGGATCACCATTTGTGAGGAAAAATTAACAGAAGTTCATATGTACGTCACATATGCGGAAAAAAGGTCAGTTATCTTCTTTATAGTGGAACAACAAGAAGATTCCGTGGCATCATCGGATGAAGATGATATAAAAAATGAAAATAAAATCGATGATGATCAACAACAAGCAGCAGAATTAGAAAAAATGAAACAGACGATAACAGAAAATACGTGGAATTATCAATTTTATCTGAATTATATCACGTCATCAAAAAAATACAATAATTTAAAACATATTCATTATAATCGACAAAAAATGTCCGATTTGTTTCCACTAATTGAACAACTATGACTGGATTAGTTAAAAAGATGAAGAAAATTTATAAGAATTATCGACAGATATTGATAATGATCGTCTCAAACTAACTCACCTGTTTGAAAAAGCGTCAATGATTAGTTATCTATACAAATATGAATACAAGATCCACAATTTAGGCGTGTAGATGACCAAAAAAACTGAAGAAAGCACCTCCTGGTTGTACGGGTCGGAAGAAAAAGGTTTCGAGTTGAAAACCTTATTTTATTTATATTTCTCTTTTCTAGTATTGGTGAAATAACTCGGAAATCCGATGCTATTGATGTGCTCTGTAGTATATTTGAACGTTCATTAATTCCTGATGATTTACATATTCGAGATGGAATATTACTGTAGTAAACTTATTTAGAAGTCGAACAATCGATTCTCATGCGTATTGAAACAAGTTTAGCTCAGTGAGATAAAACAAATAGTAACTCTGATTTGAACGAAAAATTATGTAAACAAGTTGAACGTATTTTGAGTTTATATCGTCGTCGATTAACATTGCCACTGCGTTATGTATTAAATGCAATGTATTTTGTCAACAATATAAACGTATCACATAATTATCATTTACAAGAGGATTAAATTTGCTAACTAAACATGAAAGTTGTCAAACAATTATAAGAACGAGAAGTCTGTAAAGAACAGTTAACAAATGTAAGTGATTTTGAAAAATACATACAATTTGAATTATATCAAAAAAATTCAGTACCAGCAAGAATATAGTGTTTGTCTGAAAGAGCTATCGGTTCGTATAATAAGAGAAACATTTTTCAAAAATTTTGATTTTGTATAAGATCATTATTTGAACAGTGATTTGTGGTTGAATTATCTCGATTAGTCGATGAAAACTTAAAATCACAAGAATTGAGTGAAAACTTATGTGAACGAGCATTCCGCAATTGTCCATGAATAATTAAATATAATTTTATAATTTTGAACATACAAAAATAAAATTTATTCATAATCAACATGGGTTGACAAGACATCCATGATTTTATTGAATTGTACATATCATTTATACACTATCTGAGACGATGATATCAAAAATATTAGCAAAGTTAAACTGAGAAATTTGTCTAATTCAATAGTTAATCGTTCATTCTTTTTAATACATTAAGAATATACCCTTTCTCGTTCAAGATTCTTTCTTACACTAAAACTATATATGTTTAATTTAATATGTTCTTCTTTATTTACCTTTTAGATACTATGAACATTGATAACAATCAAGATGATAAACTTGCCGATAAACTTTGTCAAATATGTGAATTGGCTAATAATCACTATGATGAATATTTTTCTCAAGTTGAATCATATTCGTTTTATAATTGTAAATTTGATAAATATTAAACATTTTTCGAACGTAGATATTTTCATCAATTAAACGAAGCACGGATATGGAATAATTGAATTGTTACAAAAAGAAAACAAGTCGTATCTGTCACAATTACCCATGGGGAAATTTTAGTAGATACCACGGCGTATACACCCGTGAACGTCGTGAAACAAAGTTTGAGCGCAGATGAACATCGTTAAATGGTGTGTTGGCATGCGTGAAAAAATTATCCGGTTGTGACCAGTCGTGAACTGTTCACGAAAACATATATATGACGTTTCTGCCGCGTGACCGGTAATGAAACTCGAGAAGCGTGTAGTGACCGCGCGTGAATTTTTTGAGTTAATATTTGCGGTAAAAAGGTTTCACTTGTGAACACGCGTCAGAATAAAAATTCCGAGAAGACGCAGTTGGTAATAAAATTTTGATCAATGAATATAATACTGCGATTATACTTATTGATCAAATCGCAGTATTATACGCGTCAGAATGTCTATAACGAATTTTATCATAAAAGGCAGCACTTCACATTAATGCACGTGTAATTTTTTCATACAGTTCTTTTCTATACATATTGATCCACAAGTGAAAATGTTTCAATTAGTTAAGATTTACCTGAAACTGAAATTTTTTGATCGGGAAAGTTTATTTATTTGATAATAAGTGTGCAATGTTGGCACTAACGTTATTCTTAAAATTCCTCACCTGTGTGATTTTCCGCCTATAGATGAAAAATCTCAGAATTTTTTAAGCAAAATTCTTACGAAGGTCTCCCCGCGATGGCGTGTGAGCATCTTTCACGCGTGAAATATGGTGAAAAATGATTAGCAAGCATAAGTACAAAATTTATTCTAGATTCTTCGATGTCAAGTTGGCTCAATGATAACGTTACGGATTTACCGTTCAAGTGCCTTGGTTAGATTCTAAATTGTAGGAAATATATACCTCCAAGGCCACGATTGTTTCACGTGTGACCACGCATGAAGGTTATTTACTTGTGCACACGGGCGCAGATTTTTCATGCAAATTTTTCCGTGAAGCATCTGGGCGCGTGTACACAAGTGAACAATCTTCACGCTTGGACACGCATTTGATGTTGAAGGTGTATGACTCGGAAGTCGTGAAACTTACTGCCTTTACCTATACAATTTCGTGAAAGTCCAAGCTGACATTTCACGGTCCCTCACGCATGAAAAGTCGATAAAATTTTCCCATAATTATGGTATGATGGCTATAAAATAGAGCACGTCTATGGCGATAATAAACACCAGAAAATTGTTGTACCAAGCATTAAATAATTTCAAGCATTTAGATAAACCAGAAGTGATATCTGAATGCTATTGAAATATGAACAAGACTATGAAATATTAGAACAATGTAAACAAGCAACACTGAAAACAAATGAAATATTGAATACTGTTGATATTAAGGAAAAATAACATTATGAACCACAGAAAGTAGCTAGAAATGAAGGTAAAAAAGACAAAATCCGAAAATATAAGTATAATAGTGAAGTTTCAACATCAGCCGGTATCCAGTCTAATTTCTCAACATTTCCTTCTTGTACATATGTTGCTTCATTTGATCCGATAACCTGTGTTGAGTGATCTTGTAGCCATTTGTACAGAACATGTTCATCCCTATTTGTCTTTGAACAGCCTAAATGTACATGTGCTGCATTCAGATTTCCCATTATCACACGATTGTCGTTTAAATTTTTAATTTTGAATAATGCTTTAATAGATAATTTAATTGACGGCGGTACATATACAGAAGCAATCATAAGCTTTTTGTCATTTTGAGTTTCATCTCCACAATAACTAATTCATTGTTCTCGATATGACCGCTGTAAATGAGATTTGTTTGATATTTGTTCCGAACAGCGATGAGAAGTCCACCACTTCTGTGATCACAATCCTGTCTAAATGTGCTGTAGCCCATTAGCGAGAATGATTTTATATTTTTACTTACGTTTGTTTCATTAATCGAGTAGCAATCAACATCGTTAAATGTAGATAGTAATTCAAATTTATATTTTTGGATAGAATTCACGTTGATATGATGAAATCGCCTTAAATGAAGTCAAATGATTCGAGATTTGTCAAATTTTGAAAATTGAGCCAACATTAATGAATGAGAACGATGTTGACTTCCTTAATGTTATAATTAATATACCATTTCAGCAGTCTTCGGTGGAGAGTAAGATAAGCGGCATATATTCTCGTTAGCAGTTTTCATTTGCTCTCCCTTTGCTGCTAATCCTGTTGTTAATTGTTGTTGAACCGGGGATTTAGAATTAGACGCGGTTTGTCGTTGTGTTTTCTTTGTTGGTGTAATATTTGGTGAAGAAAGTGGTTTATTGAGCATTGTTGGTGGTGTTATATCGAACAAGATATTTTTCCTCGATGGGTTTAAAGATGTTATTGGTGGTGGCACAGGTAAACGTGAAGGCACCATTATCTGTCCTGGTTGTTGCTATGTCATTACGGCTGACATTATTGCAGATGTCATCTGTTGCATTGATGGTAATGCATGAACAATTGTCGAGGATAACCTCTCAAACATTTTTTCCATCTTCTCTGCATGATGATGATCCACAGAAGAACAGTTTATTTGACCATCGAGTAGAAGTCAACTGAGAAAAATCATCACCACACATGTCATGTGTTCGATTTAATTCTGTGGTATATTCATCTATTGTTTTTTGAATTTTTTCTTTATTTTTCAAATAATCAGGACATTGTTTAGAATTTGATGCATGTTGTTGATCGCAGTTGACACACTTCAACTTTGAACTAGTACAATCTTTTTCAAGATGTTGTCCTACACATTTTTTGCATGTCTCCTCCTGCTTCTGGCGATATTTCGATGGATGTTCATATTTAAAACATTTGAAGCATTGAAGATGTTCTTTGTTTGGTTGAGCTGCCTCAGCAGAAAAATGTAAATAATCAATTTTTAGTCCAGTTTTCAGACAGGTATCACGATTTAATTTATCATCGAATACCACTTTAATTGTTTTTGTTGGTTTATTCTCTTTCTTCAAATAAACTCTTTCAACATTTTCCAATTGAAATCCGTGAGAGGTCAGTGCCTCTTGAATCTCTTGGATTGAAAAATCAAGATCCACATATTTAATGAATACTACTTTTTCAGTATCTAATATATTTTTAATATTATTTGGTACATACACTTTTACCGAATCTTTTTCAGCAAATGCATCTTTAGGAAAAGTTTTCACTAAATTATTGAATGTTACAATGTCTGAGGGCTGTATTATGATTAAATTTTGTTTATTTTTGATTATATTTTCAATTTTGGCATCTTTCATTCGTGTTTTTAAAATATTGTTTAGTTGTACTTTTGTTACATTTGGCATGCCTTTTACCCCAATAGTTGCTATTTTTAAATTCGCCCTTTTTAGGTACTAAGTTCTTTTGTTTTTGTGGACGAGTAATATGTAATAAATCAGAGCGCTCCCTCTTCAGCGATCTCTTTCGATCGGGAGGACGATTATTCATAACTCTTTCGAATGTCAACTTTAGGTATAATTACAGGAGTTTAGATTTTTATTTATTTGGTTTTTGAATTTTCCCGAATGATGCTCTTGTAACTTAGTACAAACAAGTCAGCGAAAATAATCATTTAGCCACAACGCTTTCCAAAGCGACAATGAAAGTTTTGAAGTGCTGTCTTTACGTTCATCAACATTCTTGGTCAAAAAAAGTTAAAATCAAACGATCAACCTCAAACAATCACGACATCAACTAATTGCCATCATGAAACACGTTCAATGTCAGGTCTGAATAGTTTAACAACCATATCGGTGTCAAATTCTCCTATGATGTAAATGAAGATCAAATTCAACAAGCTTTAACATCAGCAGCCAAAATAAAAGAAATACGTTTAGTTAAAAATGCATGGTCAGGAGAATCGAAAGGTTGTGGATATGCTGACTTTGAAAATAAACATGATTCTCAACAAGTATTAAAATTAGGTAAGCATTAGATTCTGATTGACTTGTACGTTTTTTATCATGTTTAACTATTGTTTAAATCGTATACTAGTCAATGGACGTCCAATGTTTGTTAAACTATGTGAAAGGGATAACGATATCAAATCTGCAAGCTCATTAATAGAATTCAAATATTCCACATCGTTAGAGAAAGAAAAATTACTCATAAACAATCTACCGTTCATTGTAGAAAAAAGAGGAATTTTTGGAAATATTCTCAAAATATGGTCATGTTAATGATATTCGGTAAGTCACATTTTTCGGAGTAGAAAACCGAAAGGTCTCGCTTATGTCGATTATACTAATGACCAATCGACGTCATATGCAATTTTGAATACTGACAGGATGATATTAGATGGACATTCAATTAAAGTAGCTATCAGTAGCTATCAATCCACTACAAAAACAACAAAAGGCATCATCAGTCAGCGCTTCGCTGTCATTAGGCGCTTCGGAGAAATCATCAGGGCCAAGAGGAAAAGGTCCTTCACAAATCGCATTAATACCAAGAAAATTAACAACTAAAACAACAATGACAACAGTAAATCCACACGCAAACAATGTCATCACTGGCATCGCTACTACTACTGTATTCACATTGAAAAATGATGATTTTAGGAAAATATTTATTAAAAAATAAGCTGTTTTTTTGTTTATTTGTAAATATACGTCAGCGTCAAACTCGGATTCAGGCCAGTCCTGAATTGGCCTAGGCTAAATTAAGATATTAGTTTGACCTAGTTCAAACTCCGATCTCACTTTCGACTAGCTTTTTTCTAGCCCAAATTAGGATCTCGGTTTGAAATAGTCTAAAGTCAGATTAAAAAGAAAATCTCAGGCCACTCCGAGATTGGACTGAATTCTCAAGGCCAATCTGAGACCGAACTCGGTAAAAGTCAGATTCATTTTACTTCAGGCCAAACTTAGATTAAAGTATAGTAATGTGTGGAATTTTGTTCTTATTCAACAATGAGTAGTGCCAAACTGAGAAATGTCTTTACTTTTCTTAATTTTGACATGCATTCATTACTTTTATGACATTTTGTTGAGAAAAAACACGATTTTTATTTCACACCACGAGCTAAGCTAGTGTTCATTGAATAAACTGCTATTGGTAACTATTCTGTCCATCTGTCCGTACCACCATCTTGAAGAATTTTACCAAGAATATCAAATAATGTAGCATTACCCCTTTCTGCCAACCCCTACGATTGTGAATGTCTGGGTCGACCATTGATGATCATTAAACCAGGCCATATCAATTTTAAATCTTTAATAACACCAGCTGTGAATTATTTTCCATTATCAGATTGTAGCATTTTAATTCAATAATGCATTCGATTGATATACTATACGAACTACTCATCATGGTCCAAAATGATAGAATAAAGATGATAAATTTTGAGCAACATGTGCAGCTTCTTTGGTCCTTAATGGATAAGCTCATGAAAATTTACTAAAATGATCTCGACAATGTAGAATCCATTTATACTCACCATCGGGTCTTATACGTAAAACCAATAAGATCGATTTCTAATCATGTTAGAAAACCAATGGAAACGATTGCTGTTGCTACAACATGATTTTCTAAGGATTTCAGTACTTGGCATGCAACACATGTTGATAAAAAAATATCAATAAATTTTGATGGTATCCAAAAATAATGTTGATTCATTCCATGCCGCATTTTGTCTCGACCACCATGACCAGTTCTGATATGAACATCTTCTAAAACTTGATAATATGCTTCCGAAACCACCAATATTTTCCATCTTTAGCTGAACATAACATTTTGACCCCAGAACCAATATCAATTGTGAGATATTAATTACATCAGGCATGAAATTTACAATCTATTCCAACTTTCTTTTCAGCTAATTCATGTTTTAATGCCTTAATAATTGTACTAGCATACGGATATGATATCATTGATTTTTCTCTCATTGATAATGACAAATCATTTTTATAATCTTCAACTTTAGCATTGAATGTTTTGTCCCTATTAACATTGCTATTGTCATTACCACCACGTGGGGCGGTTGTAGATTCATCATTGACTACAGTACTATCATCATCAATAATAACTATTGGTAAATCATATTCCAATGTCACTATTTCTTGTGAATTATCGCCCATGTTTAACAGAATGTTGTAAAAGAGTTCTTATCTATCTTTATTAAAACTTGTAATGACCAACAAGTCATCTGAGTTAGATATGAGGACAACATGAATCTGACTTTGGCCTAGTTCAGTCTTAGATTGAGAATTCTTGAGAATTCAGTCCAATCTCGGATTCGCCAAGATTTTCTTTTTAATCTGACTTTAGACTATATCAAACCGAGATCCTAGTTTGGACTAGAAAAAAGCTAGTCGAAAGTGAGATCGGAGATTGGACTAGGTCAAACTAATATCTTAATTTCGTCTAGGCCAATGCAGGATTGTCCTAAATCCAAGTTTGGACGCTGACATATGCATTGTTTGTTAACCTTCCGTTAAAATTTTTGACGTAATTTTTCACCACTGAAAATATGATATTGGCGAAAAAACGGTTTATGACGAGTTTTTGTGTTAATTTTCCGCGTAGACATTTGAAAAGGCGTGTACTTTTTTTATGACTGAGTAAACGTCGGGCTTTCTTCTCTAAGCATTTCACATGGGATTGGTTAATTTCTAAATTTTTTTAGAAGCTTTCTACCACAGTTTTAGCATGTCCTCTGGCCAAAACCCAATCAAGATCCTTGAGCTCAAACAAGACTTTGAAGACCGATATGATAGAAAGAGTCGTCAAACGTTTGTTGAATAAATTTGTTAAAACAGATAGTTTAAAATAGCTCGACAAAATTGTGTTGTTTAATTTCCGCATTTTTTGTACATTGCGCAGTATACGTTGCTTCAATATCAGGCGGTATAATAACCGCTTTTGGTTTTCTACATACTAATGATGGACTTCGAATGTGACTTGTTGTCAATATCATGTAATATCCATCAGAATATAAATCTTCCGTTTCGATATAATAATCAGATTCATATTTATTACAACGAAATCCACATTTTTTGTATAATCTTAGTGCATTTTCATTCTTTATATTTACGTGTAATGTAACATGTTCAACACCCGAATCAAGTGCTTCGAGAATCATTGCATTTAGGAGACTCGACGCAAGACCATATTTACGATATTCGAGTAAAACCGACAAATAACAAATATAATAATTATCATCCAATTCTTCATAGCGAGCCATTAATGCAGCACTTATTCTCGGAATCTCGGGTGCCGTAAACGCTATAACCTCTGGACATAGTTCTAACGAGTTTTTAAATTGTTCTGTTTGTTGAAATGATTCGCTTAGAAAAAAATCAAATTGATCATTCCAATATTGAGTTTGTTCTTCTGAACCTTTGCCATGATATCGAATTCGAAACATGTGATGTTTGTTGACATCTTTTCGATAGATTGATTCAAGACCATTAATAAAAATATCATATTTAATATAAATCATAGAAAAAAATGCTGCTAAGTGTAGACTGCTAGTCATATTCTCAGAACAGATTTTATCACAAGACGTATACAAAGGCAAAAAAAAATATTAATTAAATACTATTTTTTGTAAGTTGTGAAATAATGTTGCTATGTAAAATAATTCTAATTTGGTAGAAAGCTCTCGCAGAGGTTTATGTTGCAGGACTTGCTTCTTTCTAATGTGGGTTTCACCTACCGTACGTAAAGTACCATGAGCGGTACATGATGTTACAACCATGTTTCGAAAGGTATACTTCATTTTTTACAAGAACATTATTTTTTCGTTATAAACATAACTCGAAGGAATCAAATTATTTGAATATATTTTGGACGATCAATATTCGACTACTTCTACATGTCCTCGAAGTGTCTCGATGGTCTGTTGTTTTCGAGATTCAAAAAAGCGATATTTATGCTGCTTGCTGATATATTTCAATGAATATTCCAATAACATCGAAATTGATTAATGATCCTGTATTAAATTTTTTTAAGAAAATCGACTGCATGGCAGAATTGGAACCAGTTGAGAATTTTCTAACCAGACCGGACCAGCCGGTTAAAAAAACTTTTCCATCAACCCGGAAAAAAGTTTGAACCGATGAAAAACTGGTCCGTTCAATATGTCTCACGGCCGAACAACAAGCGGTCTGTGCGTTTTATTAAGAAATGAAGAAGCTAAACCGGTGAAAATCGGCTCGGTTTAAGCTTTCTTTTCAATCGATAAAAAACTGGTTGGTTGAAAAATTCGACCGGACCGGTTAGAGTGCCGGTTCCAACTCTGCTGCATGGAAAATCTGTAGCAAAATACACAGATAAAGCTTAGTTCAACGTCAAGACTGAGGACCTACCGGAGAATGAAAAATCAATGTTAAATACGTGCAGATATATATTCTTCATCTTGTTTTGAACGATTACTTCGAATAATCGCGATTTCTCTGATAATTCATACGAATAATTCATTATCGCTTATTTAATCATCATTAAATCGTCCATTTTTTTAGCGCTTTAAATCACTGTTCAAAGTTCTAAAGACGAAATTATGAACATCCTTATAACTAGGATAAAAGTACTATTTTAAAGCAATTAAATAAATCTAAGAAGAGATTTGAGCGCTCTCATGATGAAGATTTATCAGCACTTATAACCAAAGAAATATTTTTTTCACCCACTTTTTATTTTTCTGGAAAATTAAAACTTTCATCAAAGGCAAACCAAAAAGATACAATGAATTTTGATTTTATTTTTCTTCTTAATATCCATATATATGTATAGATATATACAACAAATTCATTTTTCTTTTGCATTGGTCTTCGGTATCTAGTAAAATTATTTAGTAAAAGAAGAAAACACGTGTACATATGCATCATCTATTTTTCGAGAGAAGAATAAATTCATTGGTGACGGGTTTCTTTTTTCATCTGTGTTAGAGAATGGATATTTTTCTCTTTTGAAAATAGTCTTATCTATATAGATAATAAGATATAAATCACCTTTATCATATCTTATTATCTCTTTTGAAATTTCTCACCTTAAAAAATGATTCAATAGTCTTATCTATATATGAGATAGGTTCAAACGTTAATCAGATTTATTTTTTAAGTCGAAGAACATTGTACGCCATAAGTAAGTTCTAAAGATCTTTCATCGGTGAAAGAGAAATTACTTTTAGGATACTATATTTAAAAGTTTTGAGTACCATATCACCGGACAAAAAATAAAGTTGGTTTTAGTTGCTGGAAAGTGCTTTTTCGTATTCAGCACACTCGATAACCCAGAAGATTTTCTATTTTTGGCGAAGGGTACTTCAAAAAGTTAAGGAAAAATTTTCAAACTAATATTATTCTCTCATAGAAACGTTTTTGCGCCATTTGTTTTCCTAAACTTTTGGAAGTACTCGTTACCAAAAATAGAAAATCGTCTGGGTTATCGAGCGTATATCTGAATACGAAAAAGTGCTTTTCAGCAACTCAAAACCAACTTTATTTTTGTTGTTCCGGTGATATGTCTATACAGAAGAATGAGCATCATTTCATTTATTTTCTTAAAATTCAAGGAAATATGATGAGTCAAGTTGAGCTAAAGTCTGTAGCAACAATATAATATGAGCTCTCTAGAGTGTATATTTATGTACTTTTTAGCATCTTATGGTCAATCGATCATGACGTATCAAGTAGTACTAATTTTGCTCTATTCCTATTGTCTGTACTTTTCTGCACAACCGTCGCAGTCGCAATGGAATTCTAACAGAGGTATACAGCAACAACAACAACAACAACAACAACAACAGCAGCAACAAAATTGGAACCTGCCAAAACAAAGTACGACTCCACAAGCCTGGAATAATCAAAAGCAAAGTGCATTTATAAATCGATTGTCATCAAAAATTTAAGACCAAAATAATATGTTGTCTGATGATATTCAGAATATTGACAATTGGAAACAACAATTAAAACAATTTCCCGACTGTATATCTGATAAACAAATCAACTGTTTTGAAGCTGGTAAATTAGGAAAACATTTTATCATCGAATTGTGATAGCTCTATATTTTCTCTTGTAGGAGATTCACGTGTTATGGAAAATCTTGTTTTAACGGGTATAACAACATAGTGGTGGCGTTTTCATAATCAACTAGCAAGAAACTTAAAAGAATTACACAATGATTGGTCAAATGATAAACTATTTGAAGAAGCGAAATAAATAAGCATAGCCTATTTTCAACACATTGTTTTTAATGATTATCTACGTGTCATGTTAGGAAACAATATTTACGACATGTACTTTCCAGATATACCAAGTCAATACAATCCACAAGTATGTGTATCATACTGTACTTTTCTGTAGATTGACCACAATAGGATCAATTTTTCTCTCATTATATTTTGAATAAATTCTCAATATTAAGATATTAGTTGGTTTAAAATTCACGCTGTTTTTAAATACAAAAGTTTTGTTTCCTTTTCCAGGAGTCACCTTCAATTTGGATCGAATTTGCTGCTGCAGCATTTCGTTGTCATACATTTGTTCGTGATTTGTATAGTCGCGCAACGCCTGATTATAAAGTTATCGATGCAAAATTATTATGGGATATCAGTCATCATGCCACAATAGCTTGGGAGTATGTATTCATGTTTTTTCTTTGAGTAAAATGATATAATCACTTTTTTGGATTTATTTGTTTATAGTTTTGATAATGGTGGTTTAGATGCAATTACTCGAGGTTCTGTCTACGATTTTGGTTCAGTATGGAATGCAAATTTTGTCGATCAAATAAGACACCATTTATTTGAAACAATAACTAATACAAAGGCTGATACAAAACGTTTTGATTTACCAGCAATGAATATAAATCGTGCACGAGACCATGGTATTAATGGTTATAATGCTTATCGGGAATGGTGCGGTTTTAAACGTGCTCAGAATTTTCAACAATTTTTAAATTTTGTTAACGTTGAAGAAATTGAAGATTTGAAAACAACATATCCGTACGTATTTTGCAAAATCTTTCATTTAAATAAAGTTTATGAAAATGATTCATTTATCGTAGACATCCAGATGATGTATGTCGATTTGTGGGTTGGTATAAATATGGAAAATCCTGTTCGAGGAGGACTTATTGGATCAACAGCAGCATGTATCATTGCTCAACAATTTCTTAAAATTAAAGTAGCCGATCGATTCTACTATGAACATCCAGGCGTTTTCACTCCAGGTAAGAGTTTTGTATTTTCACGTATAGTATAGGTGTTAAGTGGAAGACTACAAATTGTTAAATATTAATTCAATTTTTCTACTATCGAGTTTAATAACACTTACAAACTATAAATTTAATTTCTTCTTGTGATCATAGACATCTATTTCCTTCATTATATCTATAGAACAGTTACGTTCAATTAAATCGTATCCAATTCGATGTTTTATGTGTACGACAATTGAAATACAATTGATGCAACCGAATCCGCTTTTGCCACCATCTCATCCAGGGTATATAATTTATAGCATTTGTTTTCCTTTTCTTGTTTCTACATAAAATCAATTTTCTTTTGTTTTAGAAATAGTCAATTGTCATGCGATCAATGTCAACAATTTGATCTTCGTGCATGGTAGAAATACACTTCATTGCAATTTTGAAACAAAAAAAGAATTTTCCACCTTTATAAATTCTTTTTGGAAAATTTTAATGTTATCCGAGTCGAAACATCATGCGACAAAATTTTATAGAATTCTCGTAGAATCTCATAGAATCCTATCAATCAAATATGTAAGATTTTTGGTAGGTATTCGATCTACCAGAAAAAAAAAACCTAGAAACCTTTTAATAGGAATCTACAGAATTTATATGTAAAAATTCCTCTTCGGATTTTTTGGTCTAATTAGTTGGTGACTATATCTGTGTTTTCTACCTTTTTCTATTGTATGTCTAGTTATTTTTGTTTTATTTGCTGTTTTAACCGTTTTACAGTGTTAGTTTTATAAGATATACATAAATTTTAGTCTTTTTCTTTGAAGTAAACAACAAAGAGCGGATTGATAATATCGTTGTGTTTATGAAATTGAACACGAAAATTTCAAGGTGGATAGACAGTGATTGCTACCAGTTGAATAAACCTTGCTGAGCTTCTTCTCATGTTCTACTATTTTGTAGATTATCGTTATGATGTCATCATCCTCATCATCCATGCAACAATTTCTAATATTGGCCAGATCAGTTCATGGTGCGGCAACTGTTGATTTAGTTAAAAAAGTCATTGAATATCCGGACATATTTAATTTTGAAGAATTGTTACGTATGGAAAATATAGATGAATTGCAAAAATATGAAGAATATGTTCCTGTTTATCATACTCTGGAATTATTTGCCTATGGAATATATTCTGATTATGAAACAAATCGTTCAAAATATATTCAGTTGAGTGCTGAAGCAAAACGTAAATTACAATTATTAACTGTGGCATCATTGGCTGTTCGATCTCGTACAATATCCTATTCGATATTATTAAATGAATTAAAAATAGATACTGTACGAGAATTAGAAGATTTAATTATTGAAGCAATTTATTACGATATTATTCAGGGTAAATTAGATCAATTGAATAATCATTTAGATATTGAATACTGTATATCACGCGATATTGATTCTCGACAACGATATGATCATCTTATTAAAGTTCTTGATAATTGGTGTCAAAATTGTTTACAAATATTAACCGAATTAAAGCAACAAACATTGAAAGCAAATCAGAGAAAACAACAATCCATAATTGAACATGAAAAATTTGAAAAACTTTTAGAAAAACAACAAAAACAAATAAAATTAGATAATAATGAAAATATATTATCAACACTATTATCAAATAATCGTCGAGGGGATGGTATGACACAGGAAAAACATTTAAGAAAAAAAAGTTAACATTTTAAGATTTTATCAATATCATTTTGTTTCTTTTTGTTCTATTCAATTTTTTGCTAATACTATTTAAATAAACAAGAGTTTTCCTTGTCACTATTGTTAATACTAAAAACATGTTTTATTATTTATTAAATAGAAAAACTTTTTAAATCTTATTTATCAGGTTAAAAATAATTTCGATTGATTCTAAATATCGGCTTGTCCAGCTAACGGTCCCCCTTTTTTGTTCTTTTTCAAAAAATTATTGTAATAAAACTACAAACTAATCTAAAATGGCAACTAGATAATTAAGCTAAATTTAAACATTTCTCTAGAAAATGAAAAGTGTCTTGCTCTGAACGTTGGTTCGTTATAAAAATACAGGAGGAAGGTGTGATGGTGCTAATTTTGGATGTTGTAGATGTTATGGTGGTGAACGGCAATTTAGACTTTTTAGACTTTTAGACTTTCTTCTAGAAAATGTCGGAAAAGCCGGAGAAAGCGTGGGCGGCAGTATGAGAGTGAGTCACATATAAGAAGTTCAAGTTGCGCAGCGGAAATGGATGTTATAGGATAGTTAGCGGATCCTAAAAGTCGAAAAGTTCTAAATCGTCGAGCATCACCATAACATCTAAAACATTCAAAAGTGTTCCACTTGAACTTCTTGTATGGTGACTCATCCTCATACTGTCGGTCCCCGCACCCTCCGGCTAGTCCAACTATTTCTGGAACAAAGTCTATAAGTCTAAAAAGCCTAAATCGCGGTTCACCACCATAACATCTACAACATCCAAAATTAGCATCATCATATCTTGATGTTTCTACAAACTGGTATACTTATTCAACTTTTGCCAGCTCGTCTTCACTCTTTTAGACACGCTTTTTATATAGATTTTTATAACGAACCAACGTTCAGAGCCAAGACACTTTTCATTTTCTAGAGAAATGTTTAAATCTAGCTTAATTATCTAGTTGCCATTTTAGATTAGTTTGTAGCTTTATTGCAATAACTTTTTGAAAAAGAACAAAAATGGAGGCCGTTAGCTAGACAAGCCGTCATGTTGATATTTTTCAAGGCTTAGATCCAATTATGCATGTGAGCGTCTAAAGTTCGATTTAGGCTAATCTCAGTTTGAACTAAATCAGAATTTGAACGTTGACATATATATCAGATCAATATGATCTATGGAATTGATTTGAGTTTCATTTTTGACTCGCAAATTTTGAGAAATAAGCATAGATTAAAAGTTTAAAGTCAAGAAAAGAAAGCTTTTTTTCTCATATAACTTGAATCAAGAAACATTTTACTAACTATTAGATTAGACTAGTCAGAATAAATTTTTTTATTTTTTTAAAAGTTCACTATTTCTTTTTTTATTATTGACGAAGGAGAAAAACGAGAAAAAAATTCAATGGAAAACAAACAGCAATATTATTTTTAAAAAATAAAATGTTTTTCATAGAAAACAAATGAAAAGAAACAAACAAAACAAATATTTTGTTCACACTTCAACTCGCTCTTCTAAAGATACTTTTTTTTAATTTTATATCTGACAACTCTTCATAGAACTTCTGAAAATATTATACAATGGATTCAGATCCAACATAAATTTGTTCAACATTCGATCGTGGCATATTACTGTTCGATATTTGTGATGGTATCACACTAGTTTGATTATAATTGCAACATAATTGTTGTGGATGTGATGGTAGAGATAAATGATGATGACCACAACAGACGGGTATTAAAACAGTTTGTTGATTATTTTTTGTTGACGAATTTATCGTCGATGTATCGTATGGTGATGTATTTACCGTCGTTAACGGTTGTTGTCTATTTCGATAAATTATATTTGTTCTAGGTAAAAATGGACGAATTGTTTGTGTTTGTCCTTGAAGAACAGGTTTAAATGCTGAATGAAGCATGTATGGTGTATCTGTCGTTGATGATGATGGTATTGTTTCATAAACATGATAATCAACATTTTGAGTCGTATTTAAATCGGCATGTGGATTACGAAAACATAAACTTCCACTATTTCCATTACATGCTACAACATGTCCTGGTCGATGATTATTTGACGTAGGATATGAAGAAAAATGTTGTGGACATTTTGTTAATGTATAATTTTGATGATCAAATGATGTAGGTTGATCAGTTAATAAATTAAAATTCGTATTATTGTTAGGTGATGATGTTGAACCTAATAAAATTGGTGTGATAGGTGGTGCTGATAATACGCCAGTTGTTGTTCGTGTAGTATCATTTGATTGTGATTGTGAGTGATTTGATGAAGATGAAGTAGACGATATTGTATTAGTTTGTTCATGATATAGATGTTGCATCAGACTACGTTGTAATTCTTCATGAGTAAAAGACGATTGCGATTCAACGGGAGTTTTACATTTTGATTGTTTTTGAGAACGTCTAAACGATGAAAAGAAAAATTATATTAATAAAACATAGAACTGATATTTATATAACTAACTTACTTTCTACATATGTAACAAACAACAATATTTACAGAAAATATGGCTATTGCGACGCCACCAAGAACAGCAGCCAATATTGCTAAAATAGATAGATAGAATAAAAATACTATTGTCTATTTTATTTAAACAAATTTTCTATATACTTGGATCGATCGTATGTTTTGTAGTTGATGGTTGAGTTTGTACATTTAATTCATTTTTTTTTACTTCTAATGGATCTAATTGTTGATTTTGAGAAATATATACTTCATTATTTAAATTTGGTGAGTTATTGTCGTTGTTTGCTCGTTCATTAAAAAGATTTGGCCGTCGTGTTCGTTTTATTAAAGGAAGTTGTACTTTTGATACTGGTGAAACGATTGTAGTGGTCGTTAATAATGGAATAGACGAAGAAGTAGTTGTGGTTGTAGTTGGACTTGGAAATAATCGTTGTTGCGCATTTCCACAACGAACTGATAACGGTATTAGTTCTCCTTAATATAAAAATATTTTCAAGTAAACTATTGACTTTATCTAAAAAAATAACTTACTATTGGTATCACGTTCACAAATAAATGCATAAGCATTTTCACAAGGCTTTTTTACCCAACCATCTTGTGTACGTAGAACACAATTAGATGCATCGGAATTTTTGTCATCCGATGGGGTTGATGTACGCCATGGCCACCACGATTTAACTTCAATAAAGAAGAAAAAAATAAAGATGTCGGAAATTCGAAAATTCAGTAGGTTTTTCTTTTTCCATTTTTTATCTAGGGTTGTATAGAATGCGTCGAGCTGATCCAGAAAATATGTGTTTTCATGTTTTTTTATTTTGCTTCGGCACTGAGAAAATGCATTTTTCCTAGATCAAGATCGAAAAAATCGGAGTTTTGCCTGTAATTCTCAATTGTCTTTATCAGAACTAAACTTTTATTCAATAAACATATCACATTCAGAATCAGCGTCAAAAACTGAGTCGAATGATCTATATTTCAAAATTTTTCGTTGACTTTTATGTTTTGGTGAAAATCACAGTGATTTTTCACGTAAAAATCCCATAAAAGCTTAAAATCGTCGAATATATCATTCGACTCGTTTTTAATGTTGAATACTTTCAAAATATTTCAAGAACAAAAAATGAAAAATTCTTTTTGAAACCGAAGGATTTTTCGAAAATTTAGACTCTTCAAGTATTTCAATTTTTTGATATGAAAAAGTTTTTTTCAATCATGAAAACACATATTTTCTGGATCAACTCGACACACTCTATTCAATCATGAATAAGAAAAATCTGCTGAATTTTGAATCTTTAAAAACATAGCTTTGAACAAAAATACATACTTGAAAATTTTTTATTTTGTTTTGTATCCCATAACCATTCCTCTGAATTTTTATATAGTCCAATCCAATATTGTGTATCTTGATATTGTCCATTTGTAAGAAAATTTAATAATTTTTTTTCTTCAACAATATCGTATAGTTTTAATAGACGACTACCAATAGATAGACATTTTTCACGAGCAGTTGTCCAAGAATGTTTCATAGTAAACAATCGTAAACATTTTGAACCAAGTGAATATTCATCACGACCACAAGAAGAATAACCTAAAATGATTAAAAATTAATTATAATAAATTTTAAATAAGTTATATTTTTAATATCATCTTACCATGTAGTCTAATCCAAAATCCTGATTGACTTAATGTTTCATCTGTTGTAAATGTTAAATCAATATGATTTTCTACAGCAACGATCGACGATCCAAATGATAATGTACCCGACTGTGAAATGGATGTTGAAGTTGATAAAAAATCATTATCTTGTAAATTAAATGATAAACTCTAAATAAATAAATGAAATAAATAATATTGAGAAAATAATGATAGTATTTTTATTATCAAGATGTTATACCTCTACATCAATTGTCACTTGTTGTGATGATGATTGGTCTGTTGAACTGACTGAACATGTACAATTGACATTATTTGGATATTCATTTGGAAATGATGGAGTTATCAAATGTAATTCTGTTGATGATTCTAGACTACGTTTTGAACATATATCAATTATCGTATTATCTAAAGATAAACATAGATAAAATAAATTAATTAACAAAATGAAATTTAATTAATTAATTGTAGTTTAAATAGTGACATACTTGCTATACATTGGTAAGAGATAAATAAATAAGTGGCTTCATCAGAACATTTATGAATAAATTGTTGAGTTAAAATAACTTGACACAATGATACACCATTACATAATTCAGCAATTTTATGGGTATAATCCATAATACAATCACTCTCCAATGGTTCACATCTAAGAATATACACAAATATATTATTGGTGTTTGTTTTAGACTTCGATATTATGCAAAATATAGAAACGAATCAGAGTGTTTACTGTTCTCTATGAAAGACTTCGTTTACCGTTGTGATTCTTGCTGATTTGTTGTTGAACGTTTTTTCGTTCCATAATGACTCCATCCAATGAGAATAATTTTATTTCCACATTCAATATCCATATGATTTGCGTATTCTTTTTGAGTACATTGCGATTTTGAATACCATTCATCAGCTATTGTTAAAACTGAACAAGAAAACAAGAAAGATCTTTAGAATTTCATTAGGTCAATAAAAAATATTTCATACTTACACATTGAAGATAAACATGTTAAAATGAAATAAATAAATTGTCGAGAATTGAACATTGTGTATGTGTGTGAGAACGGTCGAATCTATCGACTATTCAACTAAAAGGAAAAAAAACGGCAAAGATAAAAGTGATGACATTCGGAAAAAATTTTTAAAATTTACTTTTTATTTGTAATAAAAATTATAAATGATAAATAATTTTTTTGTTCTTCTTATAAAATTCGATGTTTAAATTGTGACAATACACGTAATAGTCGTAGTAGTGCAAATAAGAAAAATATTGCATCTGTTAGTTATATCTAAAAGAATAAAATATGAGATAAGACTAAAAATATCATGATGATAATATTTCTTAAAAGACTTTTACGCTAAAGTCAAATAAGATTCATTCAATTCAGTTGTTATACAACGTCTATCAGTGAACAGATATTTTGTCTATATTTATAGTAGAAATGTTTAGCATCTTTAACTCATACGTCATTCAAAACATAAACCACCGACTAGAGAATGATGCTGCCATAAATGGAACATATTCTACATATTGAACGAAAAAATAAAAAAATTATGTGTTGTGGACATACATTGCGCATGTATCAAACATTTTTTGTTCTTTTTTTTTAATTTAAATATTTGTCTAGATTCATATGAACGGTTCGTAGATCATATGTGAGTGTGTGTGTATAAGTATGTCTATATTTCAGATATAATGTGCAATACGACGAAATATTTACGTGAATTTATTATTTCATTTAATCTTATAATATTTACACATTTAGATATTTACTTATACTCCTGCTTCTGATTTTGATTGAATAACAAATTAAAATGTATGCTTTATTTTCTTTTACATGGTATGTTGTGTTAATTAATTAGTAAATAATTATATCTCTCTATGTCATCGATGTACGCCATGCGTAAGAAAAGATATGTAAATCAATATCAGGTGTAAAATAAATAAGATCTTGGCATGATCGAAATGACTTCAACTGTTTAGTGAATAATTCTGAACCACAATTAAAATAATAAACACAATCGTTTTCGATATTCATTATTAATAATACAAGAAAACAGATGAACGATAGTCAACGAGAAAAAATGTGTGTATATAAACAAGATAAGACTCTACACGGTGCAAATAGATCATAAACAAAATAAAAAGTGATTTTTAATATTTTTAGACTTATGTATGTATGATTTCAAAGGTTTTTAGAAGTGTAGTGTTATTGGTCATTGTCGACTGATTAATTGTCTTGTGTGTTATCGATAATAAAGTTGAAATAGTAGACATTTACCATAAAAATAGTGGAACAAGTGTTATCACTTATTTTCTAAGAAAAGAATCCTATACACAAACAAACCTTTAAAATATAAGTTAAAACAGAAACATACAAGTACAAGTGATCGACTTACATTTCTTCTCTGCATGTAGTATACTAATCTGTACGTTTATTTCTACACTAATTTTTTCTTCTCTTTTCTCTTTTACATAATGACAATTCCTCACGCACAACTGAACAGACAGAATTTTGCTTTTTGTATTTGATAATAACAAAAAAAGACAAAAAGACATTGTTCTCTCTGAAAAAAATAAAAAATTTAATAATTAAAGTGAGAGAAGAATGAATTCAATTTTTAATTAGTAGGTTTTTTTTTTATTACATACCGGAACGTTACAACTAAGTCTGCCCTCTGGTGAGATTTCAGATACGCACATAGTTCTGATAATAAAAAAAAAAGAGAAAAAGACGTTCCACACTTCTAAACTCATCATCATATTGCAATAGAATAAAACACAAAACCTCTAGGCAAAGTATTCGTTTAGTTAAATAATACAGGAAAGGTGAAAACATTTGATTTATTTATCGGTATATAGCGTAGAAGAATGAAAATGTGTATTGTCAACCATTCGATATGATCGTAAATATGTTCGCTAAATTGTAGCTGAAAGAGAGAAAAAGAAGAACACACTTGAAATGTGACGATATTAAAGAGAAAATATGTTTCTAGGTTTTCTTTTTATTAATCTTCTCTCTAAAGAAATCGAAAATGAACGAATTCTTTTAACATATTTCATCGAAATTTAGCTATTTTTATCTAATTTTTGTAAACAGTCAAATCTACTTTACATGTCGATAAAGTATCCATCCCTAAATTTTGCATACAGCAAATGATATGACGAGTCTGTAATGTTTTTATTGAACGAAAGTTCCGTTCCACACTGAAATTAGATAAATTTAACGAGTAAAAAAAATTCTAATACGTCTATAGTAGCCAGTTACGTATAAATATTTCATCTCAAACTAAATTTCTATAGTAGATTTCACTCTACACATAAAGTTCTCAATTTTTGAGATAATAATCAATATTTACACCCAATGATAAATTGATTGTAAATGGTGAAGTTTTATCACAAGTTGAACTGACTTATGCTAATTTTCTATCATATCGTTCAAATGAACAGAATACAAACCGTTTTGATAATCATCGATATATTTTGATGTAAATTATCTACTCATTTATCTTAATAATTTTTATATCGTTTACGACAAAATTATAACTTAAAAATTTCATTTTATAAAGTTGTTGTAATTTTTAAATACGTCTGTACGATACAATTATAAGAATATATATATTATTTCTCATAAACAATGTAAACGATATGAACAACAATATAAACTTGTCAAATGGATAATAATAAACGTTATTCTCTCATCGATTTGATCATGAATAAATGATTTTTCTTAACTTGATTTTATAATAAATAAATAAAAAACGTGTTAATAATAAACTTTTTATATGATCTATTTTGACTATAAATAGTTGCCTTTAAGGCACGATAAAAACTTTGATTAATATCTTTACAAAATGATGATTGTTATCAGAATAATATCAATATTAGAAGTATATCGTCTGATTCTAACTGTATATGTGACAGAATCTAAAAGTAAAAAACAAACAAAACATAAGATATTTTGAAGTGTCAAAATAAGAAAGTAATTAGATAACATATGATTATGAATAAGATCAAAATACCTATTGATCAATATAATTTCGATTTAATGTAGATATTTCTAGTTATAACTTCTAAATGAAAGATCATCATCCTCCTATATTGAAATATGTGTCAATATCTTTTCACATGCCGTTCGTCTTACAATAATTATAGAAAAAAAAAAAAAACTAATTTTCTCTCACACTCAAAAAACAAAAACTGTCGGTGTACACACACTCTTGAATTGCGACTACATGAAGTCTAAAGTACTTGAAATACGCACGAAATAACATGATACTTTACGAACAAATAATAAATAATCAAAAGAGAAAAAAAAAAGTAAAAATAATATATATCTTATATTATGAACTATTTACGACAGTCATTCATAATTTAACACTTGTGTGTGTGTGTGTGTGTATGGTCAACGGTCATTCTTCATTTTTTTTTTGACGTATACTATATATACATATGCGTTTGCGCGCATTCAAGTAGCTTTTTTTTCTTTTTTTTTTTTTTGCAACTGTCTACTTACCCTCACATCTATAACTAATTAATTCATTACTAATATTATTTTTGTATTTGTAATTTTGAAAAAAAAAACTAACATATCATGTAATGAGTGGTTTACCATAAAAACACAGTAGGATTTCCGTACATATATCAGTTACGATGATAAAAAAGGAAAAAAGAAAGAAGACTGTTTATAATAATAATAAAGTGGTTAACACTATCACTTGTCGATTTAGTTCGCAGGATGTGAAGAGTAAATGAGAGAAAAAAAAATGAAATATGATCCATTTGAATAATTATAAATAGTCTAGTCTCAATTATTCAAACGACGACTAGTATGAAAAAAAAAAATTGTCATTATTATTATAACAAATTTTTAAGCCGAACATCAACTGATTGAAGAGCTTTTGAAAGTGACCGAAGAATAAGTATTAAATATCGTTTTAACACTTGGCTTGTTCTTATAAGTGATGACAACTTTTCTCATGTTAGGATAACAAATATTAGAGTCCATATTTTTTAATATGTTGGCTCAGTGTTGAAAAAACAGAGAGAGAAGGAGAAAAAAAAGAGAGAGTGTTGGAACTCAAAAATTATATCATCAAAGAACGTAAACATTTTGTGACAATAGAAATTTGTACTTAGACCTAATAAATCATGTTAATGGGTTTTCATCTTTTATTTTAATAAAAGCAGCCAGCATGGGGATCTCAGCATTCTGGTATAGCGACAGGTTGCCATTTACACAGTGCATGATCTATTAATTTATATTTTGAGAGATGAACATCACATCACACGTCTAGAAAAGAAGAGGCAACTACTCCAATTTTTGACAGATATTCCATTTTTTCTCTAATATCATTCGACAAATCTGTTCTCGTCAACCATTTTACGGTGACGGAACTACACTCGACTAGGTTAAAAAAAATTTTCCATACAAAAAGAAAAACCAGAGGAAATTAAACGACCACATAAACAGCCTATGTAATACCAATGGATGTAACTACAATGTCTTATATTCGATCACTATAATTATTATCCATTTCATAATTCCCATGATTCTAATACTACTATCAGTACATTGATGCGTCGTAATAATTTCATTTTTTTTCTCTTTTTTTTCTTGTTATAACACAGACAACAGAGAGAAGCTTTGATTCCATATTAGGTCATCATTATAAAAATTGGTCAGTCTAGTTCAGTTTAGCTATTTTATTTCTTTTCTCTCTTTTACTTATGTTCTTTCTTGCGCACAAATTGATTCAAAAAGAAAGAAGAGGTATGTTCTCTTCTCTTCTTTTTTTGGGATTCATAATTCTATTTAATAATAAGTTTTTACAAACCAAAGTTCCCATATAGCTTTATAATTATGATACAAAAGAGAAAATGACCAATTTTTACATCTATATTTGAACTGTGTGTTAATATGAGGGCTGATTTCTTCTTTACGCGATAAATGAGGGTATAAAGATTTTGCCTATATAAAAATCTTCATTTTTT